CACACACACACACACACGCACACACACACACACACACACACACACACACACACACACACACACTCACTCACTCACGCGCACGCACTCTCACATCTGTAACAGCGATCATGAGCAGGCGTTCTATTCGGACGAAGACGGTAGTCATCCTCAGCATCTCATAATCTGTGAGCAGCAGACATTCTTCACTCTAAAGATAGGTAGACAGACAGCAGGATGGGCATAATATGCTTGTCCTGCAGGTCGTTCCGCTCCACTAATCAGGCATTTCCTTCCTTAGATGCTGAAGTGAAATGGTTCCTGATACACTAATAAGGAATTTGATCAAAACTCCACTCAAAAGTCAAACTTTTGATAGTCAAACTTCTGATAGACAAACTTCTGATAGTCAAACTTGTGACAGTCAAACTAGCAAGATTTTTGCACATAAAAGAATTAGGGCTGATTAGTGCATCAAGAAATGGACTTTCGCGAGAGACTGGGTGGCACTGCATTATACCGTCAAACACCCAGTGCACAGCTTAATATGCTGAAATGTAATTATGGTATATAAGCACTAGATGCATGGACGGACGGAGGGGCATACATATATGCCCGGCAGATATAGTTCGGGTCCACTAATCAGGCGTTAAGTTTTCCTCAAAACTGACGCACTAATCAGGAATTTCCTCAAACCTTCAGTCAAAAGTGAAATATATAATATAACTTATATAACTTATATAAGCGATAACTTATTAACTTCCAATTCATCAAAGTTTCCTTTCAGGTGCTGCAAAAAGAGAGAGCAACCTGCAGAAAGTGAGGCCAAAAACTGAAACTGCAGAAATTTAATGTGTTTCGGGCTGCAGAAAAGTGCACCCTGAATCCTGAACCGCAAAAAACAATCATGTCAGTTTCAGGCCTTTTGTGTTTTCTTTTCTCTGTTTTTATTTCATTTGTTCTTTGAACTTCTTTCCCGTTTCAGAAAGGTCCGCATCGTTTTTTTTTTTTTTTTTTTTTTTTTTTTTTTTTTGCCCATTTGCTAGAAGTCCAATGTGAGGGTGTGCAGGGATGTGGCTGAGCTCAGTTGTTACACCCATGAACTAAAGAAATACAGATTCCACTTCAGATCCCAATGGAACTACCTTCTTCCCCCGAATAGCTGACAGTGTATTTGGGGCATCTTTCAGTCTAAATACAGCTAATGACCGTGCGTTGTATTCGGGGTAAGAAGGTAGTTGAATGAAATAAATAGTTATGTATTTACCTGGGGCCCTCGCCCTTTCAGGCAAGGAGGAAAAAAAGAGAGCGTGTATTATGTACGGGCCCTCGCCCTTTTTATTTTTTAGCAGCTGGGGCTCTGCCTTTGCTGAGCGCCATTTTGGAAGGAATCTGCCCACTAATCTGCAATTGATTCCGTCGAGGGGGGGAGGAACACCAGGGGTCCCACAGAAAAATTGGGCCCGACTGCCACCTAAATGGAAAAGACCTACGACCCCCACCTTTTAGGCCTCCCTTTTTTTTTTTTTTTTTTTTTTTTTTTTAGACCTCCCTCTTCTCCTTGTGGCAGTTTCTGATTGACTCGGAAATTCGATGGGACTTCTACCTATAAACTTCATAATCTGCAGTTTCAGTTGTAGGCCTCAGTTTTCTAATATTTTCTGCCATAAAATACATTTCTGCAGTTTCAGTTTTAGGCCCCACTTTTCTGCTGGACACGGTCTTTTTTGCAGCATTGAAACTGAAACGGCACTTTTCTGAGTTTATCCCATAATAATTCATGCACAAAGAAGGAGGTCTTATTAGTCCGTGCCGTCGCCGTGAACATGACCAGCACCGGTCACAGGAGGTATAATCCGTGATCGGCCATTCACGGGTTTTCTGGCCACGTGGCGGTAGGAGACTTCGGAATCGGGGCAGGAGGGGGGTTGTGCCGGGGGCGGTGAACACCCCCCTGACTAAAAAAGTTGAAAAAAAAACAAACAAACAACGGGGGTGTAGGTGGTTGGGAAAATAAAATATTTTGGGGTTTGGCGGGGGGTCCGTTGGTGCAGGGCCCCAGCAGGGAAGCGCCACTTAACCGGAAAAAAATAAAATAAAATTGTGGGGTTTAGGTAACACCCCATAGTGCCCACACAACCATACAATGCTAACCCCCCCCCAACGGGCCTCCGGTTACGGCTGTCGGGGTCTCTCTCTCTCTATATATATATATCGTCAAATAGAACTGCCCGGTATATATATATCGTCAAATAGAACTGCCCGGTAAACCGTAGGCAGAGAGGGAGAAGAGGACAACAAACGAGGGGCTGTGACAAACTGTTTCGTCGGAGTTTCACCGACTCATAATATCTATCTCACACACACACACACACACACACACACACACACACACACACACACACACACACGGACGGACGGAATCACACCGACACGCATCCCTCGCGCAAATGCGGACTACGGATGGGGCGTGGTGCTTTATTGCACCCCACCGCCCCAAACACCACTGGGTGGGGGCCCAGTCGGGAAATTCGACCTCTTTTTTTTTTGGGAAAGTTTTCAAGATGCCCCTGAAATTTCAATTAATTTGCGGCATGCCCCTCTGACGGCCAACTTACCCCGTCACGCCCCTCTCACAACGAATGATATATCCAGAAAACCCCTGGTGTCGTTTGGGCCTGAAACATGTTTCATATGCCCCTACGGGTACCTCTCCCAAATTTCCAGTATGCCCCTACCGGAGAGCCGTTGAGAACCAGCAGAAACATTTTCCATATGCCTCTACCAGTACCGTGCATCTTTCCAGCATGCCCCTGTGGCTGTTGTTCACACTCTCGGTCTTTCCCCTGGCCTAAGGAGAGGATCTTTTTGCCTCTCTCTCTCTCTCTCTCTCTCTCTCTCTCTCTCTC